AAAGAGGTCTTCCTCACTCTCACATCTTAGTGTGGCTCGAAAACAAAAGTCGCCCGATTCAAGATCTTTACTCTCATTGTGCTAAATTCCCAAATCCAGAAGAGATTCCTATTCTGTCAGACATTGTCTCAAAGAATATGATTCATGAAGTGTGTGAAACAATCTCTCCATGGTCGTCTTGCATGGATGGGAGGTGTACTAAGAAGTAGACTCGATGATTTGAGAGACCCAAACAGGAACCAGCGGCTATCATACAGACGGAAGTTTGAGATCACTTTGCAACTCTAAAAATTGAGTTTAATAATCAGTGATCAGAAGTTGTGGATAAAGGTGGATTAGCCAAATACCGCAATTCTTTCAAGATGTTAGAGGCACACATACTCGACCGAGTAGCAATAATGAGGCTGTTTGCCACTGTCGTCCATGTAACTGTTCATCTTCAGAACGGCAGCATTGTATTTCACTCTGACAGTGCCATAGAAAGAGCTGCACGGCCTAGTGCGACTTTGACAGCGCTCCAAAACAAAACATTGTGTTTTTGTTTCAGGCTGATCTGCCTGCAGTGGAGGCCACCGAGCGCGCAGTTCACCCGAATGCTTGCTTCCATTTCGGTTACTTTCCACATCTCGCGAACCAACTTCATTTGGATCTAAGGACTGTTGAGCAGAGTAACACAAACAGAGAAGCCTATCAGAGACTAGGTCTGCTTGAGAGTGACAATGTCGAACAATGTCAGAATCCTCTCCTCATGCTTTCCTGCGCAGTGGCGCAGAATTTCGCTATATTTCTTGACGATGACGCGTGCACCTTCTAATGCACAAAGTCTTGAGAGAGCACGAGCGAGGATATTTTCGAAAAATTACGATGAGCTATTTTATTAAATCTAGATATTTCATACACTACAGTCAGGAATGTCATCTCAATAGGCTGTAAATTATTGTTCCTTGATACAGCAGGGAGAATGGGGAAAACCTTTTCAACTGATCAATTCTTGGTGAAACTTGAAGACGGAGAGAGATGACTATTGTGATTGCATCATCAAGAATCGCGTCAACGTTCTTCTTGGAGGCAGAACAGCTAAGTCAGGCCTAAAGCTTTCCTTAAACCTTGCCCATTCACGAACTCCGATCTGTAGCATAAGACCCTGGAGAGGCTCAAGTATTGGAAAGGTGCAATGTTATTGTATGGAACAATGCACTATGGCACATAAGAGAGCCATTCAGGCGCCCAATCAAAAATTATAAGGAGAATGGAGAGAAAAACCCAGACTTATGAGCCACAGTAGTATTGGCAGGCGATTTTCATCAAGCCCTGCCCGTCATGATCGACTCCAGCCGATGAGTTGAATGTTTGGCAACCATCTTGTCTTTAAAGGCACGTGTATATTATGCTTTTAAGTGCTATCATGAGGTCCACCCACTTGGGTGTTAATGCTGAAACTTTGCGCAACAACTGCTATTTTTGGCTGAAGATAGGCTTCTCATTTGCTCGACTTCTTACTAATAACCTTTACAACGGAATTTCGCAATTTAGGGCAGTCCACTGAAGAATTAGTGGAAAAGGTTTCCGGCGACATTGAATACAATGTCTATCACCACTAGCTTTTGAGAGAGCAATGTTGGCACCCAAAAGCAAATATGCGA